ACAAGGATGTCCACTTTCTCCTCTACTTTTTTGCATAGTCATGGATGCGTTCTCTTGTAGTCTACTGGATCCGCATTATTAACCTTTTAGATGCATTTACTTAAATTATCTTGAATTTAATCAAATGTTTTATGGAGATTGTAACAGCATATATTTTGACTTTATTAATTTTTTTGTCGAGTCATTATAGCTTCAAATTATAATCCATCTTCGTCATAGTATTTTTATCGTAGTATTTTACTTGCACAAATTTTTTTGTAATTTTTGGACATCGGTTAAAATTCTTAAGAAATTAGAACATGTCAAGACAAGTGAGGATTTCAGGACCGTTATGTGTCCAATTTATAAACCGATTTCATCAATATTTTTTAAATGAAATAATTTATTTTATGAATATATTTTATAATTTTTGAAGTTCTAAATGATTTATTTGAATTGTATATTAAAAGAATTTGATTAAGTAAATAATATATTATAATATTATTATATATTTATTACTAAATATCTAAATCCATTATAAGAATTTATTAAATCCATTTGTTTCTTCCTAATAAATCGGTTAATAGAGAAATAAAAAGATAAAATAATAGAGAAAAAGTAAGAGAGAGAAAAAGAAAATATAGAATTGGAGGCCAATGAGTGATTTTCGTAAGTCGGGCTAGTTGCGATAATTGTTCGTCTCACTCTAAAGAACATTTACCCTATTTTTTATTTCAAAGAATTTGTGATTTTGATATTTTTATGATCAAAATTATTTTTTCATTATAAAAAAATATGAATAATTTTGAATTGGTAAAACTTTCACTATGAGACTTTTTATATATATGTTATAGATATTGAGATTATGAATATTTTTTAGTATTTATTTGAGATTTTTCATATGGTGATTTTGAAAATACAGTCATTTTTGTCTACGAATAAATTTATTTTGACCTCTAAAAGTAGTGGTGTATTATAATAAATGGCTTAAAATATCATTTTATATAATCCCTGATAATTTGGTAATTTTTTAAAAATGTACATTTTTGCATAATAGAATTCTTTGTTTTTTACTGTTATGATATTCTATCATCTTCTTAAGTAAGCTCAATTATGTATTATTTATTATAATATATTGAAAATAGATGTGAGTATGTGCTTAAGTTAGATAGTCGCTATTAGTGTTATAATATTATGATAATAATATGTGTTTGAAACAAATAAGTAAAGATTATTTGACCCAATGGTTGGAGATTGATTGACATGTATATTATGATGGGTTGACGGGCTTTCTTTTAAATACTGTGATTTGGTGTTATCCTCTACTGATTCACGTAATATTAATTGATAGTTATAAGGAGATTATTACTTCGCCGACAGGCAAAGAGTGACGAGTCTATTTTCTAACCCAACGGTTTACTAATACTGAAACTAACACTAAAAAACCCCATAATAGTCAAAATTACTTACTTATTTAGTGTGACTATTAAAATTTATATTTTTAGTCATTATTCTTATTTTTGTATATATTTATTATTACTATACATATTTATTATTATTATATTATTATAATGAAAGGGAAATGAAAAGCACAATCAGCATGTCCCACCTACTAGAACAAGTATCCTGCACAAAACGAGCGCGGAGCTCCAAAAACCTGCAAAAGAGGCCTGCAAAGATACTAGGAAAGGATTGAAGCAAACAAGGAAAGCTAATAAACAAAATTAAACAAGGATAGGAAAGCCAACTCCCCGGAAAACCAATGTCCCAAGAGAAGAACAGCATCAAAAAACGCAGCTCCGAACAAACACAGCCGGACCACAAACACCAGCACCACAGCAGTTGAAACAACCACCAGAAACTAACCAAATGCCAGCCGGGGAGACCCCAGCTAAAAGGTTTAGGAAAGGAACAACCTCCAACCAGCCACCAGAACCCAAATAAAAGAGACCAGGAAGCAAACACTAACCAGCAACCACAACCCAAAAAACCCAACACACCCCACCCAGGAACAACCAGAACCATCAAAACACCAAAAACCACAACCAGAAGAGCAACACACCCAAAACAGAGCACCAACCCAGAGAACAAGAACTTACCGCTCAACAACGTAAGGCACACCACTCCTATCCAAATTAATCAAACCTTTAATCTGAACAATTGATTATTATAAGATAACTCAGTAATATCATGGAACATACCGCCAAACAACGATAACCTCCTAGCAGCATAATTGACAATAGGGCAAACATTACTAAAATGGCAATTCATAGAATCCAGGAAAAACTGAATGTTCCTACATATATAGAAGTGAGAGTAACCATACGTACCACCGTCCCCCTCAATTAAGGCTTTAATGTCCTCATTAAAGTTCCCCTCAATCACAATATTCTGAATATATAAACCAGCACATATATTAAGCCCTTGGCAGACAGCCAACAACATAGCAGTCCGCTTGTCAGCAGTCACAGATTTACCAGCAAAACCCAAAACAAAATCCCTATCACAGTTTTTAATCAAGCCACCAATACACCAACTATTCTCAATCAGAGAAATATAGAAGTTCAGTTTAAAATAGTTAAGAGGAGGTTTCAACCAAATAACAGAGTTCATCCCATGACAAGTAACAGAAGAATCATAATGAATCCCAAAAGCCTCCAAAGTAAACACCACCTTGTAAAAACTTTTAAAAGAAATAAGCTTAGCAGCAAAAAGAGAATTAACTTTATCCTTAATTCTAGCAATAATGCATTGGTGGTTCATCACGTTACCATTAAAACGGGAATCATTTCTAGCCAACCACAGAAACCAAAAAATCAGAAGAGGGACAACATTTCTAATATGACCTTTAATACCCACCATCCAACCCTCCATCAAATGCTGAACCGAACAATTCGGATCCCAGCAATTAACCCGGAAAATATCCTCAAAGTAATTCCATACCTTGGTAGCAATAGAGGAAGACACAAAAACATGCTGTAAACTTTCCACGTTGGAACAACATTGACATTTCGAAGTAATAAACAAACCTCTACTCCTAAGAATCTCATCAGTAGGAATAAACTTCTTCATGATTCTCCAATTAAAAATAGAGACCGTAGTAGGAATGCTCTTATGCCACATCATTTTAAACGGTTTAATAAGATCTTTTTTATTTCTAAAAACATGTCACGCCTCTTTAGTCCAGAAGCTACCATCTTTAGTAAAAGTACAGAGTAAAACATCTTTAGCCGCACAGTTAAGAGGAAGATTAGAAATCAAATTGCATATAGAAAGAGGGAGAACAGAAGTTAACTTCTCCATGTCCGAACTATTATCAGCAAAAAAGAAATTAACCTTAACCATACTCATAGAAACAGTATTCAAAAGAGAATCAATGGATAAACCATTAATCCACCAATCTTGCGAAAAATAAATAATACCTTCCCCAAGGCCCCAAGCTAAACAGGGTTCAACTTTCCATTTAATCTGAACCATACGTTGCCAAACTTTAGAATGCCCTTTAGAAGAAATGCAAAGGGACGGGTGAAGAACCCCACAATACTTCTCCTGCATAAACTTAGCCCACAAATTAGCATTAGGTCTAAAGTTATACCACAGTTTAAAAGAAAAAGCAAGAGCCATATCAGTCATAGATTTACAACCAAGATCCCCTTCCGGTTTATTCCCACAACACTTATCCCACGAAGACCAATGAATTTTAGAATTGGTAGAAGATCCCCTCCAAAAAAATTTGTTGAGAATCCTATCAATCCTCAAACACACCATCTTAGGAGGAAAAAGAGCTTGAAAAGAATACACAGGAAACGAAGCAAAGACACTTTTAATAAGAACCAGCCTACCACCAAAACTCAAAAATTAGATCCCAAGAAGACAAACGATTATGCACTTTGGAAATTAATTCATCTAAAAGAAAAGTTTTCTTTCTACCTTTGAACAACGGAATACCTAAATACTTTAAAGGCAGGATAACTTGAGAGAAACCCAAGAGGTTCTTAATATCCATCACTCTATTATGATTCACGTTCTTAGAAATCACAAACTCACTTTTGGCTTTATTAAATATAAGACCACTCGCCGCTTCAAATTGCTCAAAAAATCTCAACACTTTAGAAACCTTATTTTTAGAAGCATTCATGAAAATAATGAAATCGTCAGCAAAACATAAATGAGAGATATTGATACCACCCAAAGTTCTAAAAAACATACTATGAGACTTACAGAACAAATCAGATAACCCCCTAGACAGATAATCCACAGCAAGAATAAAAATAGCCGGAGAAATAGGATCCCCTTGCCGCAGACCATGGGAGGATTTAAAAAACCCATGACACTTGCCATTCAAAATAATGGAGAAGAAGGGACTTTCAATACAAAGACTAATAAGGGAGATAAACTTAACATCAAAGCCAAAAAATTCCAACATTTTATAAATAAAACACCAATTAATGTTATCATACGCTTTAGCAATATCAAGTTTCAAAATCATATTTCTCCCTCTAGTCTTAATATCCAAGTCTTGACAAAATTCTTGCGCGATCAAAATATTGTCCACAATCGCTCGACCTTTAACAAATCCCATTTGATTGGGAGAAATAAGTTTGGGAAGAAGGACAGAGAGACGGTTAACCAAAATCTTAGAAATTAATTTGTAAAAAACCGTACATAAACTAATGGGCCTAAAGTCATTCCAAGTATTAACATTATTACTTTTAGGAATCAAAACAATATAGGTAGAAGTGAAAAACTTGGGAAATAGATTCCCATTAAAAAAATCCAGAACAGCATCATAAACATCATCAGAAATAACCTGCCATAAGTGTTGAAAAAACTTAACCGTAAAACCATCCGGCCCAGCCACAGAATCAGCATTCATTTCAAATAAAGTATGTTTCACCTCCTCCAAAGGAGGAGCACAACAAAGACTACCATTCTCCTCTTGACTCACAATACAAGGAATAAAAGAATGATCAACAATAGGGGTAGAACAAAAATTTTTATTGAGATGATTATGAAAAAAGTTAACAGCAGTTAGCAATCTCATCCCCATTATCAGTAAAAGTACCATCACCACGATCAATTTTATAAATATCATAAATAGCACGCTTCTTGTTAACCAAAGCATGAAAATAACTAGTGTTATTATCCCCTTCCGCCAGGAATTTAATAGCAGCCTTCTGCTTCCAATAAGTCTCTTCCTGACATTGAAGGTTAGTGAGGACCAATTTGGCCTCCTTAAGAACCGCAAAATTAACATACGTGGGGTCATTCTGGCAATAGGCCTCGAGAACATTAATTTTCTCCTCCGCCTCCTTAATATTAGAAAAAATATTTTTAAACACATTCTTGTTCCACCAATTCAAAACCACCTTGAGCCTTTTAAGCTTAGCCCAAAGACGACGCATGCCATAAATAGAATCATCCGGGAACACAGGCGCAGACCAGTTATTTTGAATAACATTAATAAACGAATCATGAGCTAACCACATATTCTGGAATCTAAAATGAGAATTAGAGCTAGCAGAATTAAGATTGACATTAATAAGCAAAGGCGAATGGTCAAATAGAGTACGACTTAAATGCACAACCTTAGTAGCATTGAAAACATTAACCCAATCGTTATTGAACAGAACTCTGTCTAACCGTTGAGATTGCCCCGCCCGGTTCCAAGTAAAATTATTACTAGAAAAACCTATATCAATAAGATTACAATTCATGATCATATCATTAAAATCTTCCATAAAACGAAAATTAGGATGCAAACCCCCAACACGCTCAGAGGGGTTAACAATAGTATTAAAATCCCCTCCAACTAACCAAGGTAAAGTACAGATACTGTGAAAATTAACAAGTTGATCCCACAAATTTTTTCTCAAAGAACAAGAAGTAGCAGCATAAACAAAAGAAGCAACACATTGAAAATTGGAAGATTCAATATTACAATGAATCACTTGGGAGAAGTCCCCAATAAAATCAATCCTCACAAATTCTTTCCAGAAAACTCAGATTTTATTAGAAACATTAGCAAAAGCATGCTTAAAGCCCAAAGTATTAGCGGTATTAAACAGTTTATCCATAGAAATAAGAGGTTCAAGCAGGACTAGCACTGAAATATTATGAATACGACAAAGATTTTTAACCCTAAGCTTGGAGGAAGGACACCCAATCCCCCGCACATTCCAGATGATCGTATTAAACATAGGAAAACTAAATTAATGAGCAGTATGTGAGCGTGTAGCCCTAGGAGGTTGCAAAATAATGTTTCTAGGTTTTCTACCTCTCTTACCCCTACCTTTGGAAAAACTCATATCATTATCCTCTCAAGCATAGCATTTAGCATTAATTTCAATTTTCGTATCCGTAAAAGCATCACAGTTATAATGATCAGTTGAAAGAAAATCCTTGTTCATCTCACCAGAAGAAGGATCCAAACTAGACTGCTCTCCTTGAAAAAAGAGAACCCCATCTTCCACCGTGGATGTATTACGGAGTTTTTGACCTGTAATAGGCAAGTTGTCATGAGAAAGAACATTAATATTATGAGGAACCTCACCAATATCCGTAGTATTACAAGCCACATTGTTAATAGCGTCGGTATTGCAAGTCTCCAAAGCCTTTGAAGAAACAGCTTCCCTCTCATCAAGTACAACAACCAAATCATTAGAACTATTCACAATTTCGGCATTCACCCATTTTTCTTGATCTAAGATAATATTAGCATCATGTAGGGCCATATTGGAATGAGTATGAGCCACTAAATCTTGAACAACTTTATCATTAAAAACAAAATTAGGAATATTAGAAACCGGATTGGAAGCATTAGATAAAGCAGAAATAAAATTAACATTGACATCCACTTCATTACCACTGTTAGCAGCACCCAAATCCTGGGCAGCATTTTCCAAATTGTTCTCAACCGAAGGACAGGGAGCAACAGGAACCGTATTAGCCATTTTACCATTTTCATTCTGCCCACTTTTCTCCTTACGCAAATTAGGATGTAAACGAAAACACTCCTTAATCGCATGCCCATGCATCTTGCAATGCGAACAAAATACAGGTAAATTCTCAATTTCCACCTTTTGAAAGTACCCATTCATTTCAGAACCTAACCAAATTTCTTGCGGATGTTTTTTCGTAACATCCAATTCAACAAGTACTCTAGCCATAGAAGGTCGCGATAGAGAAGCCGTGGCTTGGTCTGTCTGAAGCGGTCTACCAAAAACAGAAGCAAGACCAAAGAGAATGTGCGAGTTAAATAAATGCAAACGAAGGTTCGGAAAGGCTATCCACACCAGGGCAATGGGAGACTCCTCCCTCACATCAAAATCCGGTGACCACTTAAGCAACCTCATTTGACATCCCTGAATGTAGTAAGAACGGCGAGAGAAAATACGGCTATAGTCCAAATCATTAGATAATTGAATAGCTATGTGTTTAGAATCTAACAAACCAACATTAAAGGATCCCGAAAGTTTCAAACCAAAAAAGAATTTGCGGATGACATCTAGGTTAGGCCTTCGTAACATGAGCTTACCAACCAGCGTAAAACAGAAAGGAGCAGCCAGCTGTTGAACAGCCGCTTCCTCAAAAAGCAAAGCAGGACAACCTTTAAAAGATGAGTGAACAAAATGAACTTTTGAAGAAGAAGAAGATCCAGCCGAAACCACATCTTTAAACGATCTAGTTTTACCAGTAAGGACAGGAGGAACAACCGGGTTTGACGACGTCGGAGACGTCATCGCCCCCCCCACCAAGGAAGCGGGAAAAAAACAAACCAAGACACCAAAAGGGCGAAACCCAAAAAAACAGGGGAAAAGAACCAGATGAAGGCCTGAGGAAAACAAACTAGAGAAAAGAACGAAGTTGCCAGCGAAAGGAAGAAGCACCGAAGCCAAGAGAAGCGATCGGAAGAAGATCGGAACGCTTCAAAAAGCACAGCAACGGAATCGCCTCAAAATCATTAGACGAGACGGCTAGGGTATTGACACTGGCTCATAATGTTCCTACCACTTGATTATTACTATTATTGATATAAATACTTATGCTATTTAATATTTTTGATTCACTGTATAATAAGCATGTGACATATTGAACATATAAAACACTAATTTGATATTGATATAGAATAATTGGATAGCATGCATATTTTTATATGATTTTACTACTTTGATTGGATTTTAATAGTCTTTATTGATATTTTGATTTGATATTTTATCAAATTTTTTACTGATTGGTATTACAAATATGACAATTACTTTATAGATTTAGCACTCGTACTAATTTACTGCTTTACTAGCTTCCATAGTGTAGTATTTTAATGTTTATAGGTTTTATTACTACTACATGTAAATTTTATTATTTTTATACTGACTTGATGATCATATGAATATTAATATTATGATTTGATTATTGACTAGCATATTGCTCCTTTATTGTGCTTTGGATTTAATTATTGATTTTGGTGACCTACTGGGCTTTTTATGCTCATTATATTTCATTATATGATTTCAGGTTCGAGTAGTGGAGCAGCAGTATGAGATTGGTCAGGTTATTTAGGTTCTTTTTTTTTTCTCTTGTACTCATGGTATGATTATATAGATTCTGAGTAGTATATATAATTTTAAGGAATTAATATAGATGTGTACATTAATATTTTAAATTATAGAATTTATTTTATTGTTTATTATTAATAGTTGATATTAAATAGCTCTGATTATTATTTATTTAAAGAGTAAATGAATAATATTTTTAATTTAAATTCTGGGGCATCAGAATTGGAATCAAAGCATAATTGTTGGAAGAATTAAATTATTACCATAGTTGTAGGATATGATTGAGAGTTGGATAGAATGGATAGTTTAAGGTACTTTAGTTTGCATAAATAATTAAATGGTATACGATAAAATGAAATGCATCACTGTATAATTTTTGATAAGTTTTGAGTGGATTTTGATTAAATTTGAGTTTTGATTGTACGGATTTGATTTATCTTGATTTTATGCTCGAATCCTTAAGGAAAATATCGCGGACGACATATTCTTAAGGTGGACAGACTGTAATAGCTTGTATTTTGACTTCGTTAATTTTTTTTGGAGCATTATGACTCCAAATTATAATCTTTCTTCAGCATAGTATTTTACTTACACAAATTGTTTTCATAATTTTTGAAAACTAGTGGAAATTCTTAAGAAATTTATCCCTCTCGATACAAGTGAAAATTTCGAGACCATTAGATGTCTGATTTGCAGACTAATTTTATCAATATTTTTTAAATAAAATGACTTATTTCCTAAATATTTTTCTATAATTTTTAAGTTTAAAATGATTTATTTAAATTTTATACTAAAAGAAATTGATTAAATAAATAATATAGTTTAATAATATTATTTATTCCCAAATATCTAAATCAAATATAAGAATTTATTAAATCCCTATCTTTCTTCCTAAGAAATCAATTAACAGAGAAATGAGAAGATGAAATAAGAGAGAAAAAGTAAGAGATAGAGAGAGAAAGAGAGAGAAAAAGAAAAATGAATTTGGAGGCCGCGGAGAAATTTTTGTTAGTCGGGCCAGTTACGATAATTGCTCGTTGTTGACCTCATTAGTAACTCAGATTTAATTTTTCAAAATTAAAATTGATATCTTTTAAAACTTCAATTAATTATCTTTGGGAAATTCAATATTCCCAAAAATAATTAAATATTTTCAAAACTATATATACTTAAATGATATATTTTTTTTAATCAAAACACTCGTCTCACTATAAAGAACCTTAATCCTATTTCTGATTTCAAAGATTTTATAATTTTGATATTTTTTTGATCAAAATTATTTTTCCGTAACAAAAATATGTGAAAGATTTTGTATTGATAAAATTTTCACCGTTTAACTTTTTATATATTATAGATATTAAGATTATAAATATTTTGAGTATTACTTTGAGACTTTTTACCATGTGATTTTGAAAATACAATCATTTCTGTCTACCTAAAAAGTTATTTTTATCTCTAAAAATAGTGGTGTAGTACAATAAAATTCTTAAAATAACATTTTACATAATCTCTAATAATTTGATAGTTTTTTAAAAATATTTTTTTTTTTACTAAAAGGGTTTTTTTGTTGTCTACCATTATGACATTTTGGCATCTTTTTTTTTTTTTTTTTTTTGCATCTTCTTAAATAAGCCCAATTATGTATTATTTGTTGTAATGTATTAAAAAAGGATGTAGATATGTGCTTGAGTAATAGCTGGTTGTTAGTACTATTATAATATTGTGATAATAATATGTGTGTATAAAATAAACAAGTAAAGACTGATTGACCAATTGGTTGGAGACTAATTAACTTGTACAGATGATGGGCCGATGGGCTTTTCTTTAAATACTATGATTTTGTATTAAAATTTAGTGATTCACGTGAAATTTATTGGGAGTTATAAGAAAATTATTATTATAGCGACGGGTAAAGAGCGATGAATTTGTTTATTGAGCCAATGGTTTACTTGTACTTATACTAATATTAATAAATATCATGATAGTCAAGACTTCATACTTGTTTAGTGTGACTACTGAAATACATATTTTTAGGCATTATTCTTATTATTATATGAATTTATTATTATTGCATAAATTTACTGCTATTACAATACTCTAGTACTACTCCTACCACTATATTGTTACTATTAATGATATAGATACTAATACTATTTAATATTACAAATTCACTGTATAATAAGCAT